TCTCTCTCTCTCTCTCTCTCTCTCTCTCTCTCTCTCTCTCTCTCTCTGTGTGTGTGTGTGTGTGTGTGTGTGGTGTGTGTGTGTGTGTATATGTGCGTGTATGCACGTGTGCGTGTGCCTGTGTGTTGTGTGTGTTCAAACACTGTTTTGACTCATTCTGCTCTGCATGGATACAGCACAAATTTATATGCTTAAGCAAGCTGCTAACTTTGGAATTCCAGGGTCAAAAATGGGGAGGTTTTCTTCTGGCCCGAGGAAAGTTCAAGAATTAAACCTGATGTGTGTTTATAGGCAGACACTGTAAAACAAAGAATTACAGCCTGAACCCTTTCCTATATAGAAAAAAATTATCAGGAATAGGCAGGCTGTGCAATTGTAAAAATATTTACAGTGGTTTTCCTTCCAGACACTATTAAAAACTATCGTTTGAGACACTGATAACTGCATGTCTCCATGTTGCTAATAACACTGGTAAATTAAATTTTAAGTCTACCCATGGCAGCATGCTAGAGAACACTCTGTGCACTGTAAATTTTATTTATAGAATCCTAGCAAATTAGAGCTACAAAAAGCATAGGCCTTCCAGACTGGCTTTATAAGAAGATTCCAGGCTTGAGAACTAAGCAGTAGCAATCAATTTGCAATGCCAGCGCAACACAGACCAACAAATAACAACACCAAGCTTGTTAGTGGCGGCACATCCACAACCCCGGGGCTCACAGAAGCCATGCGCTCTCCAAGCAAAGCGTAGCGTGGCATGCCGTGCGTGGCGTGGCGTGGCATGGCAGGCCGGCGGCAAGGTCTCTGACTCACGCTCACCTTAAAACAATGTAAATGATAACAAAGACCCAGGCTTTCGATGATCATGGCAGCTCCTTTGCCCAGAATGTTATTACAGTAGGAGCACACACGCTTCCCACTCACTGACCTAGATGTGGAACAAGAACGGAACGGACGCTTTCAAGTATGCTGTGCAAGGTTGCATTTAAAGTCACACTTGACATTGGCAGCTATGACGGTAACTTAAGAAAGGATCTGGATATCTGTAGGAAAGAAGCCTTCAGCAGCCAACTAAAGTACGCCTTATATGTTGAAACGGTCTGGATGGAGGCTCTAGGGTTGCGATTGGTCCATTTGAGACTTAGCTGGCATTCTCCTTTGCTTACCTATGGACTCACCAGGATCTCCCATCTGTTACATCCTCTGGCTAATTGAGTTGGCCAATACACAAAATTCCACTCAGGACATTAAACCCTCCGGACCATCTGATTCTCTGTGGCTTGCCTTCTCTAAATTACTTTTTAGCCCTTCTCATTCATTTTTCTGGTTAGAAATCTAAACACCTTCCTGACTCCACCTCTCTTGAGAATGATGTCATCATTTCCCAAAAGCTGCAGATGAGCCAGGGATGGGGGTTCCCATTTCCACATCTGGGGCTGGTTTCCTAGTGCTAAAGGGACACCACCCTCATCCTCACCCATACTTTCCCACACCTCCAGAAGGAGCACAGTACCACAGTCTCACTAAGGATTTTGGGGGGTGCATAACTATTGAGAGTTGGAGAAGAAGAGAACAATCTGCTAGACAAAGACCTTCCCTGGACAGAAAATCCCACCAATTTGTCCCTAGCCCTCCCCTATCCTATTCTCACATATGAGGCCCCGGTGGGAGAGTCCCTGAATGGTGGTTCCTGTCCTCCTCGCTCCTTTTCTTGTAATTCAGCTCCCTAACATATTTTGTGGAACTTGGTAACTGTAATATTATTTTGGACTGATAATAAGATATTTTCTTATCTAAGTCTATTACTTAACAGCTTAAAAGTATCCACATACAAATGGCTTCCTACCTCTAGTCATTACATTTGTGATGGAAACTAGACTCCTCTGGGATGACCACAGAGGACCATGCAGATCTGAAAACACGACCCACGCGGACATCAGGGCTTCGCCCCAGAGCCCAGAGGCAAGTGGCCATGCAAGATGCTACCTAACTTCTCACCTCCCTATACCACATGAACTACAGGGGCCAAGTGATGAGGTCTGTGCAGAATACTAGCCGATCAGGTAACAGTCAAGGCAATCCAGGACTCCAAACACAAGATCAAATCTAGTTTGCTGAAACCGCCCAGGCTACACGGCCTTTTCATCATGCTTTTCTTTCACATTCCGTTCTAGTGAGTTTCTGTTCGAATGCCATTAAAAGTCCAACGCTTCATAATACTGCTCTCTCTCATAAATATGACAAACATTCGCAAGCCACTGTATTGTTTGGTGATGCCACATGGTGATCTATCCAGAGAAATCTGCCAGCTGAGACACTGACCAAACGCACGGGCAACAGAGAGCCTGGCAACGTGCAGACACGTCGAAGGTCTCCAGTGCCTTTACCAGACATCTGTAAACACTGGGCAGGCAGCAGACAGAGGCAGGAGGAAGCCTTCTCAACGGCTTTGATACAAGAACATCGAATTCCATGCACTCGAAAGGACTTGTTTTCCTTCTTTACTGGATGATGTGGGGAGCGTTTTATTGAGGGAACATCCTTAAAACTAAGGCAAGGGGACCACAAAAGGTGCCTTACCTGTTCCGTAGTTGAGAGCCTGACTGTGACATCGAAGGCGACTGGCTGCGTGAAGAGGGAGACCCTGGGGAGGTCTTCACAGAGCCAGCTGGAGTCGGCACGGCAGAGGATGGGTTCCTCATGTAGGCACGGTTTGACGTAGACAACAGCTGCGGTGGGGGGCGACTGAAGTCCTGGACAGAGGAAGAGGCGTAGACTCCGGCAGGCTGGTTGTGCCAAGGTGACTGCCTCCAAGAACTGGGCCGCTGGGAATCTAGATTGTCCAGAGACTCCCCTCTGAAACACAAGAGGGGGTCACACAGTAACATGAGTCACGTCACACCGCTGGAGATCGACTAACAGATGCATCACTGGGGTCAATGTAAGACACCCCCCCCCTTTATGTATTTTCTAGATTGCGACTAATCTGGTTTCAGTTACATATACTTTTAACAAAATTGTTCCGCACCAGAGGTACTGTAACATTTCATATTTCAATAACCTTCTTTGGAGCGGTCCTTAGACAAAAGACCAAGTATCAAAGTGGGAAAAAAAAACCTTCTTCTTAAATAAAAGCTAATACTAGCAGTCACTCATCCCTTAAACAACAGTTTAAACATAAACCTCAGTCTTTTAAAATTCAACCAGAAAATACATTTTAAGCACATAAGTATTAAGCCGGACATCTTCAGGGAAGTATTTAACTTAATCTTCACAACACTATACAAGGATGTTTTTAATCTCAAAGAAGTTACATAGACCAAACCAGGAGTGTGTGGATGAGGCCTTGGCTTCAAACCACAGTCCCCTGACCCCAGAGCAACCCAGTCCTGCCTCCTTGACACTCCCATTTGCCAACCCAAGTCCTGTGTGTCAGCCAGCAACTGTTCAGTGTCTACATTACAGGAAACAGAAGACACCCTGAGTACAGGATTTAGCTCTTCTACAAAGGCTAGCTCTGAACTGTGTGTGCATGGCTTTCTAGATGTTGATTTTCCTGATGTGTTTAAATCTTTCTTCCTGCCAAAAGCTTAAACAATAGTTGTTTTGGGTTTGTTTTGTTTTGTTTTAGCTAATGTAACATTACAATATAACACTCCACAGGGAATGGATTAAGAAATATGTAAGGGTCTTTTGAGAGTGAGCAAGAGTTCCTTCTTGTCTTACTTTCTACATCTGCCCTAATCCTCCAAAGCAACAACCCTTAATTGTGAGTCCTTACAGATTTTCCTGAGATACGGAAGAAAATAATTACACACACATACGAATTTGTATATGTACATTAATATGGGCTTATATAGAGATGTACTATGTAACATTCCTCAAAAATGAAAACAATATAGTTTTTATTCTTTTACAACAGTATTCAACACCTAATATATAAGATCTTGAATCATGTTCTTGTCTCCTCATGTGATAGCCTGTAAGCCAATGGTTCCCACAGAACCAGGCATTTTTGTACCTGCTCTCCTGTCTAGTTCCCATCCACTGACTCTGGGGACGACCATGTGGCTACTTTAAAGTGTAGGACATCAGCAAACATGAATAGCATTCATGGAGAGTGATAAGCATCTTCATGTCTGGAATTGTCTTCTGAAAGATTCCTCTCTGAATGTTAGTACTACACCACGAGGTAGCTCCAGCAGCTGTGTGGGAAGGCCATTATAGTCCAAGAGCTCTGGCTCTTGGTCCATGAGGGATCTCTTCAGGAAGGCTCACCAAAAGAGCAGTCCATTTTTAAGACATGCAGAGCTCATGGACATGTTACACGCTCAGAGTCATTACAGAAACAATGAATTCATGACGGAGACCTGGGCTCAGGGCCTGCCAAACCATTACTATCTCTTTCATTTAAAAGAAAAAAACAATTTTTGCCAACTTCAGATCCATGGCTACTCTAGTGCCAAAGCTAACACCAGGCAGAGAACAGACCAGGTAACCCTCACAAATGGGAGAGGAATTATTAATATTTTAAATTTAGTGTGCTTGTTTAAATGAGGAAAAAACATGCAACATGTATTCCATCCCTAAAGCACAAGAGTACTGGACTCCTTACCCCTTGAGGTGGTGATCTCACAGTGTAACATGCATGCACTTTTTAATATCTGAACAGTATTCTAACTGCTATACTGCTATTAACTTAACTAGGCACACCTTTAAGAATAATACTGCATTTTGTGGCTGGGATCGTTTGAATTTTCTGGTTTGGTTTGAGTTTTTTTTTTTTTTCACCATTGTCAATAGTGTATGTCCTTGTCTTTATCTTCGTATGCTTATTTAACAAAATCCAGAAGATAGAGCCCTAGTAAGGAAATGTATACTTTGGTTTAATTTACCATGAAAAAAATGATTGAAATTGTTGGAAAAGAGAATTCTTATTTTATTATGCATTGCCAGTACTAGGTTAAATCAATGTCTTAATGTTGTACAAACTTCAGAAGCAAAAGAACATACTGTCATTTGCCAGTGGCATTGATTTTTATATATTTACTGATTTTGTTTCTGTTTTCAATGAACTATCTACTCACAGGACTTGTGTAGTTTAGCTGCAGACACAGAGGTAGACAGGTGTAATTACAAACAGAGGAAGTTACTAGGATTGCCTTGTGGGTTTTAAGTCAGTTATTTGTATATTGAAACAATTAGTTCTGTATCTGAAACGAGTTACAAATGAGTCTGATAGAACCCAGAGTAACTGCAGTATTGTTTGCCAGGACAGACCTCTTAAAATCCACTCTCTTCAAGTCATATCTACATAGTTACCATCTAAAAGGTTACAAAATTAGGTTTTCACAATTTTTGTAAACCCAATTATCATGATTCCAACCTATCCATTAATCTCATTATGAATGTAAGTAGGTTTCATTCTCTTCAAGTTTAGCACGCAAGAGTCAGATGCCTACTTCATTATCTGAATCCCGTTTCAAAACACAGCATTCAGATTTACAACCTCTTCATAATGTGATCTTGTCCAGCTGGCTTCTCTGCCTCAACCAGTTTCAACCAGTTCTTCACAGTAGAACTGTGCCTACTTCAAAACATGGTTGTGGGACTAAACCACCAGCCTGGGAGCACTTAGGGAGGGATCCAGGGCTTCAGCTGAATACGTAAGAGTGGAGGGCCCTGCTGGTCATAGGTGGAAGAAGAGATCCTTGACCTCATGAAGGTTGGACGCCCCAGGGGGTGGGAATTTTGAGGGTGGGGAGGTGGGAGTGGGGGGGTAGATAGGAGTTACATCCACAGAGAAGAAGGAGGAGGGGTGAGGGGATGGCGGTTCCTGGGTGAGTGGGGGATGGGGTAAGGGGACAACATATGAAATGTAAATAAAACACCCAATAAAAAAATTAAAAAAAAATAACATGGTTGTCAGTTTAAATGAGATGGTTCAGATACAACAACTCACTGTGACTCACAAAATAGCACTAATGACACCTCTTTCTCTGTCTCTCTGTCTCTATGTCTCTGTCTCTCTCCCCCTCCCCTCAAAAGGGAGGGGGCACTACAAATGAGCCCTTCGCCTCACAGTGAAGAAAAAGTGATGGGAAACTGTCTCTTACCTCCTCATGATCCCAGGCAGGCAGATGGGATCCTTGTTTACGCTGGCACTGCGCTGTCGGATCCAGCTATTGTCATTGTGGAGAGACGTTCTCTTCCTCATTTCCTGAAGGATTTGCTGTCTCTCCAACTCTGCTTCTGAGGGGACTTGATCCTTCTTGGAACTTCTTTGTGAAAAGCTAGTGGTCCCAATTCTCTCTGAATATTTGCTGCTTCCTAAATTAAAAAATATACCAAAGGCTTCAGTATAAGTACACAAGAAATGACAGCGGATCAGTCTCCAAAGACAGTGCAACTTCAAACCCAATATACTATTCACATGTGCTGACACTATCCATCTCCAGGGAGACATTTACAGGAGAACAAACAGCAACCAGTGGGAATTCCAGTACACCCATTGGGGTGCACACAAGAAAATCATCAAGGCTGCCTGTAACAGCAAAAAAGAAAAAGAAAAAAGAACAAACAAAAAAACCCAGAAACACTCAGTTGCAAAATGTTCATCTAGTTCCTCTTCACTTCAATCAAGCACACTCATTACTATGAAGAGTCTGTAGGGAAATGGAATTTTCTATGTATTTTCTCTGCCCTGTCCCCAAGCGTGGCGAGAACCAAAACAAACACACACATCTCTAGTTGGCATGAGGATAAGCATTCATGGTGTGAATCACAGAATAAGTCATGACCGTACTGTGGGATTTTTCAGTCACTGACATAGCCCTCAGAGGATAAAAAACATCCACAATATTATCAAATTTGTTTGTGCTCTAAGAAATTTACACAACTTTAATATAACTACTAAGTTTATTAGTGATAATTATGTCAGCTTTCATCCCCAGGGTTTGTTGACTAATTTCTTACTTATGTAAAACATATACAGCCTGGAAGTATCATCCTTCCTTTAGTCTGGATAAGAAAGTTTTAACTAAGGATGCTCTTTCATCTCTAAATCACTGTTATATTACACTTTCAGAATATTCAGCTTATCTGGATACTTCTTCCAAGTAAGCAATGAACAGGACCACACAAAAAAATTATACACACCCACACATATTATATTAACAGCATCAATGTATTCATACTCAAATTGAACCTTTTTCATTTAAATAAAACAGTTTTCATTTGGTTAATAGCATAACCAAGTCATCTCATCAAGTATGTAACAATTTCTAACATTTGCTAATTCAAAAACTTGGGGCTAGTAAAGGAAAGAAGATACATACTAACTACTGTTCAGGTGAGATACAAAACCAGAAGAATGAGCAGCTGTTTCAGACAGTCGCAGGCGCTGCACTGTCAACCAGGGCTCACTCACAGCAGAGTATAAACACCACAGGCTAAAAGTACACAGGACAAGTGTACTTAATCTGTAATTTTAGCAATGGCTAGGGCCGAGTTCAAGGGCGAAGAACTGGGAAATGAAAATAGGAAAAGACCAGAGGCTCACATCATAAGTGTCTGCTGACTAACAGAGATATTGAACCTAAGAGAGGGAATGATAATTTAGAGATCTGATTCCTAAAGTGAACGTTGTTCCAAAATGCTGGCAAGTTAAATAGGGCCAAGACCATTGAAGAGCCTACTTATTTAGCAAGAATACTACCACCTAGCCCAATGGCAACTAACTCCATGAGCTTTGATCAGAGATACAAACCAGCTGCCATCAGACATCAGGCCAACAGGGAATACAAAATGCTTCTTTTATAAAAATTCCACCTCAGGAATTTAAAGATAACACATGAAATACAGATTCTTACTTCTTCATTTTAAAAGCAGAAATAGCTAACATTAGAGACTTGCATTGCCTTAGAGGTAGGTCAGTGACTGGCTAAACCAGAAGCTTGTCTGTCTGCCTCAAGCTCCACCTGAACCTTTCTTCAGGAACAAAACCTAACCAATAATTTGCTTATGCGTTCCCTTATGCAAACCCTGTGCAAATGATGCTTATTGCTTAGGGCTTTTTCCTTTGTGTGTAATTCCAGTCATGTAAGGTCAACCCGAGCCATATTTTATATCATGCTCCAAGCCTCAAATGATTTTTGTGAAATGAAAAAAAAAATCCCTAACACTTTGAATTTTCAGACCTGTTGCCATTTACATGTATAATTTCAAATTTATATATAGTCTTCTACACTATTTTCTGTCCTCATTCTTTAGATGTAAGATAAAGTCTATTATGCAAAGCTGTGTCAACATTTTTCTTTGCAAAGTCCCCATACATTTCCTTAATTATTCAAATGCCCAGTACAGAACTCTTTCCATTATAAAGAAAGCCATAAAGGGCTAGAGGGATGGCTCAGTGGTTAAGAGCACTGGCTGCCCTTCCAGAGAATCTAGGTTCAATTCCCAGCACCCACATGGTAGTTTACAACTCTCTGTAAATCCAGATCAAGTGGACACCACGTCCATGCACAGACATACATGCAGGCAAAACAACAATGCACATAAAATAAATTTTAAAAAATCAAAAAATAAGAAAGCCAAAATAAACAGAAGATAGTTATTTTATTACAAATTCTCAAAAAAGCATGTTAACTATCTAATATTGATGTATCTAAACTGCCCTGCACTTTAAAATACCAAAACTAGTACATGACCACACAAATAAGTAATTGTGTGCGTGTGCGTGTGCGTGTGTGTGTGTGTGTGTGTTTAAAGTTTGAATACAAAAATCCCACTTACCATTTTTCTCTATGAGGGGATCATTTAGTTCGGTAGTAGATCTTGATTTACTCCTAAAACAGAATATATTGAATATGTCTTATTAAAAATATTTTTATTTTCATTCAAGAAAGATGGTTTGGGTTTGGTTTGCTGTTTCCAAGCTTGTTTGTTTGAGACAGGGTTTCACTGTGTAGACCTGGAACTGGCTTTGTAATCCAAGTTGACCTCAAACTCAGAGATCCTCCTGCGTCTGCCTCCTGAGTGCTGGAATTAAAGGCATGCATCCCTTTCCACTTTCCCCACATCCTTGCATGTCTCTCCTTCCTAGCAGTTCTGCCCATGCTGGTTGCCAGTAAACATGCCTATTTCCTTATAACTAACAAAGAAAGCAAGTATCTGACAGGAAGCATTTCAGCTCAGTAAACAGAGGTGAGTGATCCTATAGACTGGATATTTATACACAGGCTACTCAACAGTCCTTAGTGATTTCAAAGCTGCAAACTTTTTAATTATTTGAAAATATTAAAGCTTAATGCTTTAGGAAACATTAAACACATGCCCCTTTTCTAATAGCTGAAATTCTATTTTCTTGTCTAAACCTGACCACTGGTTCCCACATACTGTCTAAAAAAGAAGTCACAATTCTCATTGGAAGCACTAGAAACATAATCATTATTTTGGTAAGTTTGAGCCACCCTTCATGACCTCTTAAAAGCAAATGGTCTCCTGGATAAGGTAGAATTACGTATCTGTAGTCTCAACAGTTGGGAAAATTGAGGAAGGAAGAATGCTAGCCAGGGTTACATAGTGAGCTCCAGGAAAGCCTGAGGTATCTACTGAGACCCTATCTCAAACTTTTAATTTAAAACATTGTTCTGAGTGACCAAAAAAGAAGAATTTTTTGTTGGTGTCTACTCTTCTTATAAAGTGACTGCTCCCACAGGAAGGAGAGTAATACAGCTTTTTCTCTGTGGGTTTTTTTTGTTTTTGTTTTTTGTTTTGTTTTTTTTTTTTTTTTGGTTAGTTGGTTGGTTGTTTTGTTGTTGTTGTTTTTGAGTTTTGAGATAAGATTTTGCTTTGTAGCCTAGGGTAACCTTAGCTTATTATGTTGTTCAGGTTAGCCTTGAACACATCAATCCTTTTATCCCAGCCTCCTAAATTCTGAGATTACAAACATACATCACCTGCATATGACTCTAGCTTGAAACAGCCTTTGCCTGTAGTTTGAACAATAACTGATATCTCTGGTGTCTTGGAGACTATCTTCATTTCTATTTCTTCTCTGCCCATCCACCATGTATTAGGATTTCACTGGCTTATAGGATGTTGAAGACTGTCACTTTCATTTCCTCAGATACTTCAACCAACTCCCCAGAGATGAGCTAGCTCCCTGGGAACTAACAGCACATCTGTAACCAAGACCCAACAACTAGAACTTCAAGAATGTGCTCAACATAGAATGCTGACCCACAAAATCACAAGCTAAATTTTAAAGGTATTGTTACACAGCAAAAACAAACTAATACAAAGAACAATCTTCTAGTTTCCCTTGTGGCCCACAGAGGGCTATAGTAGCTCTACAAATGATCTAGGTAAACTGAGGAACATTCCTCTGAAGCCAACTAGGACCACCCAAGTCAAAGGAAATAGTCCACACACCTGTCGATTGCAAGCAACCCTGAAGAGTCGTCTTCTCTCTTTGGTAGATCATAGGAGTCAATAGGCCTAAAAAGTAAGGTTTTTTTTTTAATTAAAATATTGAAATTTAAGACATCCCCTGACTTTAGGAATATCAAAATAGTATTCTGGTCTCTTCAGGTAAAGTGTCTATGGCTTAAGAGCCAGACATGCATTTTGATCAGTTTCTACAGAAAACAGACCTATAGGTGTTTGTTAATTACATGTCCACTCACCCATTCACTGTGTAAGTATACACTGGGGTGGGTGAGAGCAACATGTTCTGGTAATAATTTAGGGCTACAGAAATGTATTTCAAGAGTTGCTGCTTTGTAAAACATCTTCTTGGGATAGGCCGGACAAGAAGAAAATAACCCAGGCTAGTGAAGTGGAGAAAGAAATGGTGGAGACACAGAATCAGGTATTCTGGAAGGTTAATCTGGTGATGTCAGGGAGTTTACATCAAATACGTGGGCCACACATAGTGAGGGAAGTTGTTTTCAGAGGTAACAGAACGTACTGAAATCCAAAGCAGAGGGCTATAATTTTCACAGAAAGCAAGTAAACAAGGGAGACAGTAAACCAGGGAAGAGCCAAAAGGTTAAGTAAGGCCTTAAAAAAAATAAAATAAACAAGACAGAGCTCGCATGAGCTTTCCAGCTTTGGCAGGGAGTTTTGATGTCAGGAAGTCTTGCAAGAAGAGAAGGAATTGAAGGGACACAATGGTGTTTGTGGTTCAAAGGCTCCGTTGAACTGTTTGACTCACTTGTACAAAGCAAAGATGGCAGAGGAGGGAAGACATACAGGGTAGACAAAACAAAGCCACAGCTACTGAAACTCCTTGGTTTAGGGACAACTCTTTCAGCTATGGGAACAAACCTCCGGTACTGGTATATTTTGACCGAAGTTTCTCGTTCCCTCTCTGCCTGGAGCTTCTGTGCTTCAGCTCGTCTTTGAGCCTCAGCTTCAGCCTGAGCCTGGGCCTGGGCTTCTGCCCGAGCCTTGGCTTCTGCCTCTGCCTGGGCTTGGGCTTCTGCCCGAGCCTTGGCTTCTGCCTCTGCCTGGGCTTGGGCCTCGGCCTCCCGCTGCTTCCGGAGCGCCTCTTCCTGAGCCTCTTGCTCCTTCCGTTTCTTCTCCTGCTCAAGCATGAGCTGTTCCTGCAGCTTCTGACTTTGGTCCTCAAACACAGCATGGTCTTCTAGCTGTCCCCTGTCCTCCTCTCCTGCCCGGGTGCCTTCCCTGTCCAAGGACTTGGACCCTTCACTCCAGGTGGGTTCCCAGGTGGCAGCCACGGGCTCCCGGGAGGTCAGAGAAATGCTGTTGGAATTTAGGACCATCAGCTCCTAGGCAGCCAGTAAAAGAAAGAAAACATGTCACACAGATTAAGCTGTAAACGAGATTAATGACAAACAGCCAAAAAGATAGCTACAGCACTTAAAACAAAAAAAGTGTCACGTGACTAACTGAGGTCTAAGTTGGAGCAGAAAGACCACACCAAAATTCTAAGGAATGCTACATTAGAAAAAGTAGGAGAGCCAGGTAGTGGTGGCACACGCCTTTAATCCCAGCACTTCGGAGGCAGAGGCAGGTGGATTTCTGAGTTCGAGGCCAGCCTGGTCTACCGAGTGAGTTCCAGGACAGCCAGAACTACACAGAGAAACTCTGTCTCGAAAAACAAAAAAACAAACAAACAAAAAAAAGTAGGAGAAAAGTTAAAATATAAAAGCAAATTTCTAACATAGACTAGAATTCAATGTATTTCCAAAGAGCTACAGAGGTGAGAGTGTGTCTAGGAAAATGGGGTGTGGCATTCTTCCCCGGGTTCTCCAACAAGGTACAGAGAAGGACTGGAACAAGGCATGCTTCGTGCTACCTCATCCAGGTACTTGGAATTCTCTCTCTCGGCCTCCTGTTGAGCTCTCTGCCACTCTTCCCTCAGTTTCTCCTGCTCACGTTGGTATTTTTCCTAGGAGGAAATATGGCCTAATGATTAATCAAGGCTGCCTTCTGAAGGGAAGCAGAGTATTTTCCATTAACAATTTCGCTGTCTCTAAACCTCTATGTCAATCTCTCATATGACCAATCAGAGTTTAGTCCTGGAAGAAAGAAAGAAACAAACAAAAAACAAGTCTTGCATTAAGCTAAAATACAGATGGCAGGCACATGGAATGAGCTATGCCCAAGCTTGACTGCTGAGGTAGCTCGTCAAGACCTCCAGTTAGGATAGGGGAGGCTGACGGATGGCAAATCAGATCTCATCTACAGCTAAGAGGGACAATGTTCACAGTCTGGGCCGCTCACACCCGTAAGGGTTAATGCCTGATAGATTTTAAATCATCAAAGTGGAAAAGTAAGGGTTAATGCAAAATATGCACACAATACACAACAGTGTTTGTTAGTGGACAATGGCTTGGCCCTGCTTTTGTCAAGCTTGCTTCTCAAGACTCGGTGGCACCAGCCAGAAGAGCAACCAGAAGAGCAGCCAGAGGGGCACAGTGAAAGCGGAGCCTCGGATGCCCGCGGGCTGTGTGGCGCTACCTGCAGTAGGCGATCTTGCTCTTTCTGCCACCGCTCCTGCCGCCTTCTCTCTTCCTCTTGATCCCAAGCCCAGCGACTCGGGGCACTGAGAGTTGGAACCGGAAGCTAACCAGTTTGTGGCACAAGAGAAAGCGAACACAGAACAACGTAACATCACTAAGTCATCTACTAAAACACGTCCACACTCAGCAAACATCCATCTCACGCTGGCTTAAACCACAATGGCGCAGACGTCGTCAACGTCAGTCTTCCCAGCTTAGAACGTGACAATCTGATCAACATTGCCGCGTCTTAACACAATGCAAGAAATACTACTGTGTAGTAACCCAGTCCCACCCAACTTCCCTTACATATTACCAACTGCAAAAGTCTAATACTCACATCAGGAGCCGCAGAATCAGAGCTTCCTGCATTGCAGCACCCGGGCAAGGAAGGAAGAAAAGCACAACGTGAGTTTCTATTTCTATGAAGTAATTCTTTTCATGGCATTAGATCACTAGCTGTCCCTGCCAGCATACGGAGTGACACCAGCCTTCTGTGTAATGTAGCCACCTTTCCCTTCACTCCCTTCTGTACTCGTCATCCAAATTCAAAATTAAAAGGAAACTGCTGGTGCCTCAGACTCTAGAAACAGCACTGACTCCACGAGTCTTCCAGAAAAGGCTTCAGTGACACTAAACTGAACAAAGTCTGGGAGTTTGGCTCAACAGGAGGAAGAACACTAACCCAATTATTGCAAATAGTCACCAAAAGTATGACAGGAATCATTCTCATTTTCCGTGTTTTCTCATTTATGAGCAGCTTTCTAATTGATATGATGGCGAAAAACAACTTCAGGACAGCTTTATGGCTTCTATTATTAGGAATACAAGTATTCAAGCTTGATGTGTAAGCTAGCGGGCACTGTATTATTATATTCCATTGTTGCTTTCTGAGAAATGAAACCCAGGCAGACCTCAAGCTCACTGATGTAGCAAACACTGACTGTGAACTTTGAGTACTTCTGCCTTCATCTTCCACACGCTGGGATTATATGTGGAATTCCCTGCCTGGCTATTGTTAATCACTATTCTAGACACTATTTATTCCAGGCTGGCCTTAAACTTTTCATTTTCCTGCCTAGTCTTGGCATTCCAGCTGTCTATGACTACTACACTAGCTTATTCCTTCTTTCATCAGGGAGCTTGTATAAATATGTGTCAATGCATTGTACAATAACAGAAAAGTGAAATTCCAGAAATTAGACTATTATACAGCATTTAGGAAAATTTCTGAAATTTCGGCAGTCACAGAAATTATTCACTTATATAACTATTTTTTTAAGTTGCCTTAAGACTTAGGAAAATGTTCATCCCTAAAATAGCTCATTGAAGAAAAGTGAGAGAAAACTAGAATAAAAACAAGAAATTATTTTGTTTTATCCAGCTTGAATTAGGCGTGTATTATCACTTCAACTGCATAGCCACAGAAAACAATAAGTTTAGAAAAAAAACTATAATCAAAAGCACTAAGGACAGCTGATAAACTCTATTTATGGTCTGAGAGGAAACTTAATCTACTTTAAGAAGAATATTAGGTAATAAACAACAACAGACACAAACCCAGTAGGTATCATAAAGCAATTTTTGAAATGTTTCATTAACTTTTAAAGAAATGGTAACATTTCAGATAGCAACAGGAAATCTCCTGTGGTGTTGCAACTAAAATGTTAGATATTACTTTTAAGTTCTTTGTAGCAAAACAGAGTTGGAACCACATTCAGGAGACAGAGGGTTAGACAGATGTGAGGATGAAGAAAAGCTGCATGCATCACACCTCATGAGACCGCCGGTGCAGCTACACCAACATAGATGATTTCTCAACGCTCCTTTCATTTAAATTTCCTTTGACATCAGCAGAGTCATAATTATCAGTCCTCTAACACTATCATTCCAAAAGCAACAAGCAATTTTGTTCTTCAAAAACAATGTTGTTTCCCATAACCCAAACCAGGTTTGTTTGTTTTGGTCTTGTTTGTTTTGGGAAGTCTACCAAACATATGTTGGTGTAATCTAACGAAAAACGCTGTGCAAGTGACAGGAAGCAGGAAGCTGAAAATGAAATGCCTCACGGTCTTACTGTTACCCAGCGGAACAACACGTGTGTAACAGCAGCTCAGTGCTTGGGTTGTTTTGCTTTGTTTTTTCACAAAGTTAAAAGAGAGAGAGAGAGAGAGGAGAGAGACCTGGAAAACTAGACAAAGGACACGCAAAGCCCATTACCACAGAGGTAGACCCATGAGCTGTAAGAAAAGCCTGGCGATCCTGGGGAAAGAAGGAAAATGGGTTATGTTGTTTGGTCACAAGAAAAGCAAGATGGAAGGAGATTGGTGTCTGGAAGCACAGACTACAGAAGGCTGGAGTGTGAGATGATATCATGAGAGCTCAGGAATAGTTTAGCTTGGCAGTTTACCTTGTTCAAAAAATTGTGATCGCCTTTTTAAATTTTTCAAAGAAATGGATTCTGAGGCTAGTTGGAAAATAAGAAAATAAATACCATGTCATTCATATTTTTTTTTTATTTCTTACCACCGGTAAATTAAATGACGCTTGCTATAGCTTTCCAATCCTTAGCATTATTATTTTTTAAATAACAAAATTGGTAGCCACTGAAGATAAAAGATTATTTCAAGGCTGACACACACATTTGAGTAGTCTACACTACATTCCTATTAGTAAAAGGAACAAATACTTCTGTTAATGATTTTTAGTAGGTAGCATTGCACTTTCACACCAAGGAGAGGCATACAGTTATCTTAAAGCACAAGACTTCCAAGAAATAGAAACTAACAGTTTTTGTTTAGGTTAATCAACCTAAAATTATCTCTACCACAGCATTTTTTACAACATGATAAAGGAAAAATTTAAAGCATCTAGAGAAGAAGTCAACAAAAGCAACACAACATAAAGAACAATCAAATGAAAATAAATGTTAAAATTAAGGTATGTCTGATTAAAATATTTTACGGAATTTAAGAACTTCTGCTACTTTAAGTTATTATTTCCTTCTTAATTCAGGTTAAACAGAAAGAAAAAGAAAATATAATCTGACTTCTCCCACAGATGAGTCCCCAAGACTATGGGACAAACTGGAAAGGTAGGCATACCACCTGATGGTTGATTTTTTTAATCAAACAACCCCAAGTAGCATAGAGTTCCATGGTCACCATGTAGGTGTCACATCAATTGGCTCTGTTATTCGGGCCACTGGCAGAAAAGAACTTGGATTCCCTAGATTTTAGTATCATTAAGGGACATAAGCAATTCTCATTTTAAAACTCTGCAGATAAAGGAAAAAACAGTCCCAACTTCTAATTATTAGAAAGGAAGGGTAGAAATAATATTCACTGAGAAAAGGCAGATCCATAAACTTTCATCAGCTTTGATCAGCATATCTACGAACTGCCCGAGTATGTCTAAAATCATCAAAACAAACATAGCCCCACTACAAGAGGCCCAGCCTCATGGTGTAAGACCCGTAGCTTCTTCTGGCCTCTTTCCTGCCTATATGGACCTGGAAGTTCTTTCTGGTGTGTCTAACAGCATTCAGTAGCTAAATTATTTCTGAATGGTCAAAGCAGAGTGAGAACTCTAACATCACCTTTGGACACTCTGCCGTCTTTTTCAGACAAGGATCCGCTCCCTGCACATTTATCCTTAGAACAATGAGGTGGGGAGGGCAGGCCCATCGTGTTGTGTTTAAGGAAGATCTTTCTGCCAACACTCCATAGCCAGGAAGCTGCTGGCCCTGGGAAAACCTGTTCTCATTTGGCTTAAGTATCCAGATACCCAGAACTCCAAGTGAACAGGCTGATGAACTTGTTTGGGGCTCCCTAAGTGTTGCATGCTGGAACTGACTCCCTCTGAGATGGCTGCAATTGCATCTACATACTAATCTCGATTGTAACTTGCTGTACATCCAGTTTTCCTTCACTTACAGAGAGTAATTTTTATGGCAGATCTTGAGCTTACAACTTACCATGTAGAACCAACAGAAGCAATGTAATAATGATCTTTACCTTTTGAATCAAAGGTGCTGCTTTCCTCATGAATTCCATTAATTTCTTTGGATTCAGTATACTGGACAGGGTTCAAAAAATACTAATTAACATTCTGTCCGATTGGATTTAGGGATTAAATAATACATTTCTCATTAGGGAAAAATATTCTTAAACAAGATCAGCTTTTCAGGGTATTGATTAATTCCTCATAGCTTATATGTGGTAAAATATTAATGTTTTTCATTGCTCTCCAATACTTGGAAAAGGATTAATGACTAGCTGTAGGCAAAGATGACCATAAGTTTAATCAGTCATTAATATTCTAAGAGTCAAGGTAGATAAAATAGTCATTCATTCATTTGGTTTATATTTATGAATAATAAAACAGCCATTTATGATTCTTTAACATTTAAATCCTTCAAAACTGTACTAATACTTCCTTATATTAAAGTTTATTCAGGTCAAAGTTTAAATTAGCAACAGAAAATGAGAAATTCTGATTAGAAACAGAAACTTTTTTTTTCAAAAACTGTATGAAAAAATACTACTTTTAACATTTTGAGATTGCATGCATCTCAAAATTAATGAATTAATTCACGAAACTGATGATGTGTCAATCACACAAGAAATCCAACCCATTAGATTCACCATGTAAGACTTAAGATGCTTTGTGAGGCTCCATAGCGTGCACTTTGCAGTAGACTAGAGAGCACACAGATAATTTATACCATGCAATCTTCCACATTTACTCTTCCTCGTTCACACAGATCTGAGAAAGGCTCATGATGAGGGCACTGGTGAGAATCACCGGCAGAACAGCATTATGTGATGTCATTACCATTTCATAACTCAATAATGATAGGCTGCTAATAGAAACGTATTTTCAAAGCTACACTTAGTCTACATATTCAGTATACCCTAACTCTATTTTATATAGTATCAAAACTAATTCACAAACCATTACTTCCCCACATACAGCCTCTAGTGTTAATCTGTTCTACTTACAGGACTCTGAAGGCTTTCAGAGAAATCAGTTGTTACTGATAGACTTGAAGACTTGTCTGTGTTGTAAATTCCTGAAGTTGTATCGATCCACTTTGTTTCAGGTGAACCTATAATTTTGGTAGCCACACTGGTAAGATTGAGGGTTTTATGCCGTATACATGGCAGGGAAGGTTGGTCTTTGCCCCAGTCTGATTGGCACATGAAGATCAAGTAATGAATACATATAGACGGTAAAGTGGAAAGAATACAGTTACTGAATGCACAGATATAAAATGTACACAGACAGATGTACAGTCAGACAGACAGATGAATCAAGTCACATGTAAATGACACAGAGACTTTAGGGCTTTAATCAGCAGACCACCTTCCGAGACCAAAGGTTAAAAATCACGGTAGTTAGTAACAAGAAAACTAGCACATGTGCTGATTCTTTTCTTAAATTGGGACTACATGTTATATGCCAACAGCAAAAACTGGCAGGTCTCAAGAGGCTCAATGTCCCCTCCCACCTAACCATCACCCATGACAAAGAAACACAGTGGTGTAAAAAGCAGTTTAAAATGCTATGAGAATACGTAGGAACATGTTCTGCTGGGAGCTTGAGGACAGCAGTATAGTTAAATACTACAGAGAACAGTGAATTGGATGGCCATTCTTTTTGGCTGTTCTTGGTTTTTGAGACAGGCTGTCCTGGAACTCAACTCTGTAGACCAGGCTGCCCTCAGACTCAGATATCCACCTGCTTCTACCTCCCCAGTGTTAGGATTAAAGGTGTGCACCACCACTGCCCACCCCACGGTGCCATTTTTAATGCTCAGCTTTGGGATCCTGAAGATGAAGTAACAAATGCACATAGATGCTGAACTAGAAAGAATAAAGTGTGACTCCCAGATAAAGATACACTTGCTTTTGACTTGTGCATTCAGCCAGATAAGTTACAGAAATTGTCAAAAAGGTGTCCAATTCAGCAGATTGGCTAGTGAAGCATTTCAGAAAGAATATTCCGAGGCACTGTCCCTGATTTGTCCCAACAACGATGGCAAAACAATTGTAAGCACAAAGCTATGTAAACTGGGGATGGGGAGAGGATTAATGAAGCCAACTGTTAGAACCATCTGCCCAAGTTGGGTTTCCCTATTTAGAAAGCCAGGCACGGTGGGAAGTGAACTCACCGGACTTTCCGTATCGCCGGACGTCCATCACTAAGTTTCCAGTTTCTTGGGCATTTGCCATAACTTCCTCCCACTTTTTTGTATCCTTATATGAAAACTTGGTGTTATTGATGGCGAGAATTTCATCATCTACCTGCAGCTGAGAAAATTCTGCTGGGCTACCTAAACAACGGAAAGAGAACAGTTAAGTAAAGAGAAACCCACACAGTCTGCTCTCTGCCGTTGCTTTAAATTAAAGAGAATGACTTTTCCATCTCGGCGAGTTCTATTCATTTCCAGTAGAGAAGCAACACTGACATTTTTATATCTAATATATATCAGATATATCTAATATCTGAATCCCTGCACCACATGAAGTACCAAGGGCATTATTTATTTCATAGTCTCTATCTTTGTCTACATGAAAAGGAGAATTTGTAAGTTCTGCCAATAAAAAATAATTTAACTCTCCAAAGGACAAAGAAAAGAAATGTAATTATTTTTAAATTAAAAAATGTGAAATATATTATAGTTTAATTGGACATCAATTAGAACCCTGGGGGTGGGGACTACAAGAAAAAAAGAATACCACATAAAACTACCACTAAAGCACCATGATTACAATTATTCCTAAAATTTTAAAAGAGCCAAATCAGCACAAAGTGTGTATAATAAAAACATGTAAAGAGAGACCTCCTCTCAACTAGGACAGACAACACTGTAATTTTCAACGTTGGGGGCATACCGTGCAGTTTCTGGATTTGCCTTGGCATAACCCTGACTAGGGGAAAAGTAAGCAGCCAGCAGAATCCCAAAGCACCATGAACATGTAAAAAGTGACAGATAAAATACTAACAATGCTTAGAGAACATCGTTCTTCGCTGGAGGTGACCGCAGACTGAGGACCTAGCATGTGGGACACATTTGGATCAAGCCACTGCAAACAACAGCATAAACAACCCTCATGTTGGTCTATCATATGCTTTATACATCTACCACAAAACACAATTATTCACAGAAAATTTATACTAAATTTTTAAGTAAGTATTACGTGTTAACATTTCTAGAAATTTGGTTTTTTTTTTAAAAAAGAAAATTCTCTAAGTTTACAAAAATAGAGATTCTTCAAAACTAAAATGAATTAAGAAGGTAAAATAAACAATGTATAATTTGTAATTCCAACTATTTGTCTCAGGGAGGAAACTTCACTTTTTGCCTCCACTGAAATGCATCTTTCCTACATGTATTCACTACGTCCCAAATCAAGTTGCTTCTCATTTCCCACATACACAGAACAGAAGATAGCACAATATAGTTAAATCTATAATTCAGTTTATAGTTACCTTTTTCAACTGATGCTACGAAGATCCCAGAAACATCCCATTTTATTGTAAACCCAAAGACATGTTTGTTCCCGGGCATCTGGTTTATGCTGATTCTCATATCGCTGAACTGATCCTGAAAGTAAAACATGAAACGCTGGTATCAGGTGTCCCTGGCACCTGCAAGGAGGAAAACCTATCCATGAAAGATGGGAGGCTACACCAAGGTACACCCTCGCTACTTCATCATGAGACAGCAGCTTCCCACTTTCCTCCTTGGGTTTGATAAAATGTTCACTTATATGGATATCATCCAGTAGTTTTTTTCTGCTAAAATAAGATAAGGGCAAGTTTATCACCGACCAACATTTTCCTTCCTTTTAATATATATAATCCTACAAACGGCTTGGTGGTTAATAAAGTTATTCACCTGTTATTTACCGTACAATCAAGTCTAATTTACAAACCACTTATTCATCGACTAAAACAAAAAAGAGTAACTTACATTATTTGTTTTTAAAGTGACAGAGAGCGTATTGAAAAATAATCTACCTCCAATATTAAGCATTTATAGCTGAAGTAGGCAAATGCCCCACAGTTATCAGTAAGAGTAATCCATCTGGAATTGACCAGGCAGCCTCACTGGGCATATTTGTTGGCTTAACTGGTTCATGAGGATACAGAGGCACAGACATTGCTGGTGCCCATGGTATAAAAAACAGAACTCTGTTCTCTCACCTGAGAGAAATGATACAGTAAGACACCCAGAATAACAGATCATGGCTCCTTTAAGGCTTTATCAGTACCCACCAGAAGCCAAGAACAAGAGCATCTTGGGAAAAGCAGAACACTACTTTCACCCCCCTTTCTATATACTACACAAAAACAGATCCTAAACTTCCCAGCATAGATTTACACTCATATTCATCTATCTCTCTCTCTCTCTCTCTCTCTCTCTCTCTCTCTCTCTCTCTCTCTCTGTCTCTTTCTCTCCCCCCCCTCCTCTCCATTCTCACTCTCTTAAGATATTTTTCTATTTTACGTGTGTTTTGTCTTTATGTCCGTGTGTATACTTCATGTGTACAGTGTCCATAGAGGCCAAAATAGGCTATTAAACCCTCTGGAACAGCAGTGAGCCACTATATGGGTTCTAGGAACTGAGCCTGGGTCCTCTGGAAGAGGAACCAGTGTTCTTAACTGTTGTGCCATCTCTCCAGCCCCCAGGATTTTCATAAATAATTTTCTAAACCAAATTTCAGTTTCACAGTAAGCTACCATTGTTAAATCATCTTTCCCTGACCAGCAGATGGCTCAGCAAGTAAAACCACTACTAAACCTGGCAACCTGCATTCAGTTGCCAGGCCTCAGAAGGTAGGAGAGGCCTAACTCCTCCAGGTTGTCCTCTGAGTGAGACTCTCTCTCTCTCTCTCTCTCTCTCTCTCTCTCTCTCTCTCTC